ATCCCCGAGTGCACAAATTTTTGTGCACCGGGCCTCTAGTAAATATATAAAACTAGAGGCCCAGTGGACACAATTTGTGCACTCAGCAGAGGAGGAGGGAGTCTTTCAGCCAGGCCTGCGCCCTCTCCCAGTCCGGGAGCCCTTGGGGGATGTCCAACTAACAGCCTAAGCCGGTGCAAGGCCTCTGGCTGAGCGGTGTTCCCCCTGTGGGAGCACACTGACCACCAGGGGGCAGCTCCTTCATTGAGCGTCTGCCCCCTGGTGGTCAGTGCTCATCATAGCGACCGGTCATTCTGCCATTCAGTCAATTTGCATGTTAGCCTTTTATTATATAAGATAATGCTCCATCTTAGTATAATCAGAGAAATGTATAATAAGCAATAAGATATTTTGTCCATCATATTGGTAAAATGTTTTTGATTGGTAAAATCTGGTGGTGGTGTGAGGCTGGGATAAAAGGCACTATTATAACAGTATCAATGGGAATACATAATGGTAAATTCATTTTGGAAATAATTTGGCAAAATCTGTTAAAATATAAAATATATATACCTTTTGGCCTTGTAGTTCCACTGTGCTTGGGCACTAGACAAGATATGGACAAGAAATGTTCACTGAATCCCTATTTGTAAATGTGGAGAACGGAAACAAACCACATGTCCACCAGTAACAAAATGGCCATGTCCACAGTCACATCACTGAAATGCTAGTTCCACGAAGCACAGGTTTGTGTCTGAGATACTAGTATATGAATAATGCAGTAGGTTAAATGGTGGCCCCCAAAATATATAGCCACGACCTAATCCATAGAACCCAGGAATATGATCTTATTTGGAGAAAGGATCTTTGCAAATGTAATTAAGTTAAAGTTCTAGAAATGATACCACACAGGATAACCCAGGTGAGCTCTGAATCCAACGAAAAGTGTGTTTATAAGAAACAGAAGAGGAAAACACACACACAAATGAGAAGGCCGTGTGTAGATGGAGGCAGTGATTGGAATGCCACAGCGGCAAACCAAGTAACACCAAGGATTGCTACCACCACAAGAATCTGGAAGAGGCAAGAATCTCCCCTTGACCTTAGGAAGGGGCATGGTCCTGCCAATACCTTGATTTTGGACATCTGGCCTCAGGAACTCTGAGAGAATGAATTTCTGTGGTTTTAAGCCACCCGGTTTGTGGTACTTTGTTATGGCAGCCCTAGGAAACTAATATAAATAAATATATTCACTCAGGTCTTTTGATACATATTAACTAAAAAAACAAGTTATGAAATAATATGCATATAACTAAATTAAAAAGTCCTACACATGTTATGTAAAACAAACAAAAAAAGAACTATGTGTATAGATGTGCATAATGACATAGAACACTAATCAACCATTCCTTCTTGGGATGGGAGTGGGTTTTAGTAGGATGGGGAGTGGTCAAGGAAAATCTCAGCTTTACTTTCTAAGCATTCACACATTTTTTAAATGTAAAGACAAGCTGATAACAAAGCTTACCATTTGAGAGATTACATGCAGAGACCATCTTAAGTAAAGCCATTTTTTTTATCTAAAAGGAGAAACAAATCCCTTATTCACTTCAAAGTACCTTATTCTGAGGTAGGGAAGTACCTTATTCTGAGCTTGGAGGCCACTGCCTGCTGGCATGTTATACCAGTACAGGCTATGACAGGAGCTGGAGAAAATGCTGTATCAGTTATTACATATTGCTTGGTATTCTCCACAAAAGAAACAAAGAATTTTAAATATTCAAATTTTCTTTTGAATAATATAATTTATGATACCCATATTTTATCCGATCAAGTGCAATACAGGCCACCCATTTTCCTTGAGTATGTATTCTGAGTGGATGGTACATATTAATTGCTATTGTTTGCTTTTAATAGATTATTTAATTTACTACTCACGCTTTACTGAGGAAGTTTCTTTCAATGCATCACTCAGATCAAAATCAAAGTCCGCAGATCCTAAAAAATAAAATTTTTAAATTTTAACTATATTTTCATGAAACAAAATAATACTAAAATACTCTCTTGTAATGGTCATTTCTCTTTAGATAGTGTCATGAAGATAATGCCACAAAAGAAGATCAGTTGAAGCCTCCTAAAGATATAATGAATTGATATCCTTCCACAAACAACTTATCCCTGCCCCCCCCCCCCAAATACATCCTTCATTCCATTAGAAGTGTGAAGGCTCAAGTGTATAGAACATAAAGTACAATCTTACAAAAATATTTCTACATGTTATGTATGACTTTTGTAACAGGTAATATTGGAGCCCAAAGCTCCACTGAAAATGGGCTAAGATCTTTCACTCCACCCCAGGTTTCACAAAGGCTACTCTGCATTTTGTCAACTCAGGGTACCCGCCTCCCGGACCCTAGCACCTACACCTAGACTAGTAGCTCTAACCAATCATACATAACTGAAAAGACTCTGGGGAAAAGCTTTCCACAAAGAATCTTCCATTCCATCTGCTCAATGCTGCTTCTTTTGGAATTTGACAGCTATCATTCCCTTGAGATCAGCATGTAGTTTCCCATGGGGGTATATACATTATCAAGTCTCAAGAAAACAGCTATGCATTCTCACTGGAACTGAATAAGTAAATGAATGGTGGATTGTAGAAGCTAGTTTTCTCACTTTTGGAGAGTCAGATAATCAAGATTAACACGGACAGTGATGAGTAATATTGATAGTATATACCCTGGATATGATGTGATGAGAAGGGTGCTATAGTACGTGTGTGGTCTTTCTCTCAAAAACACATGACCTCAGTATAATCATGAGAAAAACATCAGACAAATTCCAATTGAAGGCATCCTAAAAAATACTTGACCAGTATTCCTCAAAACTATCAAGATCATCAAAAACAAAGTAAGTCTAAGAAACTGGAGTAGCCTGAAGAGTCTAAGGAGATATAGTTATGGAAAGTTATGTGGTACCCTAGATTGGATCCTGGAACAGAAAAAGGACTTTAGGTAAAAACTAAGGAAATCTGAATGGAATATGAACTTTAGTTTATAAGAGTGTATCAATATCGGTTCATTAATTGTGACAAATGTGCCATATTTTTATATGTTTTATTTATTTTAGAGACAGAAAGGAAGAGAGGGAGGGAAGTGAGAGAGGGGGAGAGAGAAAGAGATACAGAGAGAGAGAAACATCAATGTGAGGGAGAAACATAGATCAGTTGCCTCCTACACGCATCCCGACTGGGGATCAAACCTGCAACCTGGGTATGTGCACTAACCGGGAATTGAACTGGTGACCTTTTGGTGCACGGGGCAACACTCAACCAACCAAGCCACACTGGCAAGAGCTCAAATGTACAATATTAATAATAGGGGAAACTGGGTGTGGAGCATATGGGAACTTTCTGTACTAGCTTTGCATTGTAAACCTAAAACTGTTCTAAAAATAAAGTATATTTTAATATCCATTTCCTATAGCAAAAATTAAGGGTAACCACTAAGAGATGATCTGTAACCTCAACTCTTTCAAAAAATAAACATGCAAGTTCAACAACAATAACTAAAATCAATCTAAAAAAGTCGCTAAATGGGAAAAAGAAGCTAGAAACATAATTGTCCAAGGCTATAGACTATATTAACACCAAGAGTGAACCCTCATGTAAATTATAGACTTTGGGTGATAATGATGTGTCAATATAGATTAATCAATTATAATTAACGTACCACTCTGATGGGGATTGTTAATAATGGAGGATGCAGTCACCCATATATTATTTAATATATTTAACTGTTAAATGCATTACCTACCAACAATAAAATAGACCTTTATGAAAACTGAAAAAAAAAAAGAAAATGGAGGAGACTGTGTGTGAGGGCAGAAGGTATATAAGAAAACTCCATACCTTCTGCTCAATATTGCTGTTAACCTAAAACTGCTATAAAAAAATTAAATCTATTGAGAAAAGGATAACAAAAGCCTATATAATGACACTAGAGGCCCAATGCAAGAAATGTGTGCAAGGGGCTCGGCCCTCGCAGCCGCAGCGGCTTGCCTCGGCCCTCACAGCTTTGTCCAGAAGGTCGTTCAGCTGTCTGGTCTAATTAGCATATTACAGTTTTATTATTATAGATAGGAAAGGGCTCCAAGATATACTATTAAATAAATAAAGCAAGGTGCAAAGAGTATTTTTCCATTTGTCTATATACATATCCATAAAAATGTTCTAGAAAAATTGCTAACAGTAGTTATGTTTAGAGAATGAAAATAGGAGTCAGGAAGAATGAGCATTTTACTATTAATTTAAACCTTTCTCTGCCTTTTTTGTTTTTAATAATGTACATATATTTCTCTTATGATGATGATGGTAATGATAATTTAAAAGTTCTGTATCAACCCTCCAAAATCATAAGCCTATCATCCTACTGGGTCTCCATTTAAAACTCTATTCTTACTTTCTAGTCCAAGAATTGGAAGAATAGGTTCTTCCAAGTAACATCTTGCACAAGTAATATTTTTAGCCTCAGCCACTCCACTACTGTTTGCTGACACATTCTGTTATATATCATCAAGTAAAGAGTTAGGAACAATATAACACAATTTTGCAGTATTTCTTAATCCCTCATTGACCTTGGATTCAATAGACCCAAAACATCTGTGGACAAAACCAATCTCAATCTAATACATCCTGAGCTCTTAAGGCTACTTCAGAGCGTACGACCAAGCATAGCTGCTAAAATCAAGATGGGAACAAATATTTTCATGAGAAATACCACACCTCAAATGGTCTAAAGTAGAGTTGTATTCCATACCTCTTCTATGCAATCTGTAACTAAATAACTCAGTTTGGGTGCAGGCAGACAAGGATCCTCCACTTTAACAACACTGACTCATCATTTGGCACCAGACACACATTAGAAAGCAGCTTATTCATCATAGGGTCAATTTACAAACCCCAAATCATTGTGTATCTGGGGGACCAGTGTTCCAGTATGGGGCAGGAAAGTTACCTCATTCAGCCCTCTCTCCCTCCAGGTAGCACACCCATGCCATTGCCTCCCCCCTTCCCCCTGCAGGTACATATCTCCCAATTCTAAGGGACCTCATGATATTTCTGCTGCTGTCAATAAAGTCTTGCTTGATTTTCTAAAAAAAGAAAAAGAAAAGTTACCTCATTCCATTGCAGAGGGTCACAAAAATTTGTTTTAATGGAAAAAGCATGTAATGAACTGGTCACACCTGTATAAAAACGTCCTTTCATAGAGCAGAACTTTTGGAAATATTACACAAAGCCCTGCGCATGTCCTTGAGAAGATCTATTTAGTAAGGAAAATGCTGTTTCTACCCACAGATAGCCCAGCGGCCTGTGTCTGTCCTAATGTGGATTTTGTCCCTTGCGGAGGGAACACAAACTTGACCTCATATTGCAACCTGACCCACTGTGAGTAGGGTCTAAAGCAGCCCTGGGCAAACTACGGCCCGCGGGCCAAATCCGGCCCCTTTGAAATGAATAAAACTAAAAAACAAAAGACCGTGATGGAATACTATGCTGCTCTAAAAAGGAAGGAACTCTTACCATTTGCAACATCATGGATGGAACTGGAGAGCATTATGCTAAGTGAAATAAGCCAGTCAGGCTGGAGTGGGTGGGTGGGACTAGCTCAGCCGGGGGCAAACTACGGCGCGCGGGCTGGATCCGGCCCGTTTGAAATGAATAAAACTAAAAATAAAAAAGACCGTATCCTTTTATGTAATGATGTTTACTTTGAATTTATATTAGTTCACACAAACACTCCATCCATGCTTTTGTTCCGGCCCTCCGGTCCAGTGTAAGAACCCATTGTGGCCCTCGAGTCAAAAAGTTTGCCCACCCCTGGTCTAAAGCTAAGGGCACATTTTCAGAGAGCTGTAAAACAAGGAACAGCAGGCAATTGTTAGAGAATTCCACCAGGAACTGGCAGGACCCAGCAGCTGTCTTGATTGAAATGTCTGATCCATGAGAGCACCCACATGATGTGCCTCTTAAGTAGTCTTCCATTTGGATTTTATTTAATTAGCCACTCTCCTCTGTTCTCCTGCCTGTTCCACTTAGTTTTTCCTGAAAGCTTGCCCCTTGCAGTTAGGTGTATATGTTCATTCTCTCTCTAGCCCTATCCTGTCCATCATGGGAACCACTAGCCACATGTGGCTGTTTAAATTAAAACTAATGAAATCATGGAAAGGTCCACTGGAGTGTGCTGCTCTAGACAGTGAGCTGCTTGAAGCAGAGACTAGGACTTGGTCTTCTCCATGCCTATGCACAGGCCCAGAAGCAAGGAGGCACTCCCTGTTCATTGTGATAATCCAAAGGGTGTCTCCATATTGTGAGAATACCTTCGATCTTTTCCCCACAGACTCACCAGTAGATAGTACATGATATTATTTTGTGACAAATCCATTTGGGTTTCATGCCAAGAGCAAACTCATCTCTGCGGAGGCATGTGTCTACTCTCTGCTGATGGATTAAGAACTGCAGAGATATGGACCTCTGGCTGATAAAGATTTCAGAGGCATAGTCACAACTCAGCCAGGAAGATGGGAGCCTCTCAAGTGTCCAATTACATCTATTCCCCTGCTCTCTAAGGATGGTTTCTCATCTCCCTTTTTCCTATGTACATATGAGAAACTTCCTAATTTTTTTTTCCTTTTTGGAAATGGTCCAGTACAAATCCTACATGAATAAAAACTCACATAAACTGCTTTTGTTTTCAAATTTTAAATCTTGGCCCTTTTCTGTGGATAAATAAGCATGCAAGGGATACCTGAGACTCGTAAATCATAGATATGACATCTCCGGATTTTCCATTTGTCTGTCTAAATGGAGCTTCCATAAACATCTATGTTATACTTAAATTTGTCCACTGCAAGGAGGACCCACTAGAAAGTGGGCCAGAATCAAATTCCTACCTAAGGGGTCAAATCATGACACATTTAACAGGACTCTGGTATATACCCATAATCACTTGGGTTCAGAAAATAAGACTAGCCCAGTCAGTGTGGCTCAGTGGTTGAGCATTGACCTATGAATGAGGAGATTATGTTTCGATTTCCAGTCAGGGCACATACCCAGGTTGTGGGCTCAATCCCCATTAGGGGGCATGCAGGAGGCAACAGATCAATGATTCTCTCTTATCATGGATGTTTCTCTCTCTCTCCCTGTCTCTCTCTCTCTCCCTTCCTCTCTAAAATCAATAAAAAACTATTTTAAAAAAATAAGACTAAAATCAGCCCTAAAAGATTGAACCTAAAGGAGGAGGGGTGAGGGGCACCACTTGATTTAACCTGAAATGAGCAATGGAAGATGCTCCACCTTAATACAATAAAGATTTAACCTGATGGGGCAGCTTGTAAAAGCCATGTGTTTGGCAGGGGGCCATTAAGGCTATCATATAATAAAAGCCTAATATGCAAATCGACAGAATGGCAGAACGACTGGTTGCTATGATGTGCACTGACCACCAGGGGGCAGACGCTCTACGCAGGAGCTGCCTCCAGCCTGCAGGCCCCAGGCCAGCCAAGGCGGTGCCAGTAGGGGTCCCCCAATCACCCCGCCCGCCCATCACCCCACAGATTGGCCCTGATCATGGGTCAGGCCTAGGGACCCTACCCGTGCACAAATTTCATGCACCGGGCCTCTAGAGACTAATAAAAGGAAAACCTGCAGATCAGAAAAACTACTTTATACCTCTGTGCTGCAGGAAGCCTCTGCCTGCCATGGAAACATTCCTGAACACTGCTTGTGGGAAATTTATGCAATAAACTCACTGGCATGCATGGTCAATTTTACAAATGTCTCTGGTAAAAATAACTTTCCTTCCTTAACACAAACAAGTAGGTCTCCCACCTGGTGCTAGAGAGGGTGGGAGCAAACCAAAAACACTAAATTATGCTAGTCCCTGATTTCCCTGAAATTTTGCACTGTTTTAAATTAACTCTTGTTGCTTAAATCTAGACTTGAACACATTTGTCTTGCCAAATTTATGCTTTTACACCTCAAAGCATGCTGAGTAATTAATATCCTCTACGTTAGCTAAGCACTGCAGCATTGCAAGGGAACATGAAAGTGGCTTTCCTCTTATTCTGATTACTAAATGGATATAGCTATTGCCACCTGAGCTCCCACTAGTTTCATGAATAAGTTTAAAGCACTCCCAGAGAGGACAGTAATGATGCAAAAGCTGTAGTTCACCAGAAGCCAGGGATCAGCATTTCAGTCCAAAACAGCCACCACCATTAATACATCTGCAGTGTCTGACCCAGGTGCTTGATTACAGGTATTCACAGGACACACTGCACTCCAGTTACCTGCTACTTAAAGGAAAACTTGGTAAACAAGAGAAGGATTTATATTCAGGTGCCATTGCTAAAAGCATTTTTGCACATTCCTAGGAAGTGTCTATGTGTCCTACATACATGGAAAGTAGCTTGATTTTAAAGGTGGGAGGAGGATTTTTTTTTTTTTTTACAAATTGCATAAGTCACCTCACTAATTAAAAGATGTTTCATTCTTCCATTCCACACAACTGTTCAGAGAAAATCCCAAAGGTGTTCAGAAGATTTTTACAGTTTTAGTTCTTACATTTAAAATCTATGATCCACAGCCGCCCAAGCAGCTCGGCCCTGTCCGAGGAGTAGCAGCCACACGAATAGACAGACTGACCACATCTGAGGAGCGGCAGCCCTGCGCCGCCCACACTGGTCCAAGGAGCAGCCACACACAGTCTGCACCTGTCCAACAAGCAGCAGCTAAGTGAGCATCCTGCCCCCATCTGAGGAGCAGCAGCCACACATGTAGCTCACCCCCACCTGAGGAGCAGCAGCCTTGCGAGCAGCAACCATGCAAGCAGCCCGTCCCCCATCTGAAGAGCAGCAGCTGCACAAGCAGCCCACATCCATATGAGGAGCAGTAGCCCTGTAAGCAACCAGTCCCTGTCCAAAGAGCGGCAGCCACACAAGGAGCCCGCCCCATCTGAGGAGCAGCAGCAGCGTGCAGCCAGCCCTTATCCAAGGAGCAGAAGCCACGGGGACAGCCCACTCTTGTCCAAGGAGCAGCAGCCACACTAAGCCCACCCCCACCTGAAGAGCAGCAGCCTCATGATCAGCCCACCCCTGTCCAAGGAACAGCAGTTGTGCAAGCAGCCTCACGTACCAGCCAGAGGAGACACCACTGCTACAAACAGCACCCACCAGAGGAGCCTCTGTCAACTGAGGAGCAGCCACTACTGTGACCACTTGAGCAACTGCAGCCCAAGGAACCACTGCCACCCAAGGAGCAGCACCTGCATGACTCAACATCTAGATCAGTTGGTGAGACCAAAAATGGGTAGCCAAAAAAATAACCCGAAAGAAAGAAAAGGAGGACTCGCCAGCAAAGCAGCTAGTGCTACTCCCAAGCCTTCATGGTAGATTAAAAAGTGGCTCTTTGCAGCAATCCTAATTAAGAAATGGGGCTAGTGCCGAAACCCGTTTGGGTCTCAGTGGAGAGCGTCAGCCTGCGGACTGAAGGTTCCCAGGTTCAATTCCGGTCAAGGGCATGTACCTGGGTTGCGGGCACATCCCCAGTAGGAGGTGTGCAGGAGGCAGCTGATCGATGTTTCTCTCTCTC